AAGTTACATGAGTTATGCAATCGATAATCGTGAAACTTTAATAATCGGTCTTAACCCAGTGGGCCGGAAATGATCGATGATCACGTGATCTCGACATTTTTGCGCCATGACTAGTCTAGTAATAACAAACACATCTCTATTGATTATAAAATTAGTTATTGCTTGAATTTGTTCTACATAAAAATTATTAAAACCAAAAATAGTTTTAAGAGCTAGTGATATTTTTTCTTCGAATGATTGTTGAGTTTCAGTTATATTATCAGTTAAAATTTTACAAATACTAATTTTTGAATAGAAGTTACATAATTTACACAATCTATCTGAAGTAACTTTGTGAAATGAATGACACTTATAACACGTAAGAATCGAATTAAAATCATGAATTAACGGTGCAAATGATGGAACATATTCATTTAATGCTATATCTTCATGAATTTATATTTATATGCCACTAAATCCTAAAAATAAAATATCTATATAAATTTTATATCATATTAAATAGAAATTAAAAATATTTTGCTTACCTTATCAAAATCAAATCCTAAAAGTTCAATACGTTCATTTTCAAAAATGTCTTTCCTTTTATCATTTTATTTTTGAATTTGTGATACATTATAACTTGCTTGTATATTTTGTTTAGATTCTATGATATGCAATAATTGGATTATATATATAACCTAAAAATAACAATATATGATATTATATATAGATATATTTATTTACAGATTTAAAATTAGATATTTACCTGGTAAATCCTGTGCGAAAATAAATTCACTACTTGCTTGTTTAGCATTTCTAGAATGGGACCAAGAAACATCAAATCCAATTGAAAGATAAGTAGGTTCATTCGAATTAGCATTTGGTAATAAATAGTTAATAACATCATTTAAAGCATTTTTAGTACTTTGCTTCATATGATTAATAATTGATTGTGATATACGTGTTTGATGATCAAAATATGTTGTTTTATCCGCTTGAGCAGTAATACCAATACATGCTAATACAGTCTGTAACGTATTTTGATTTATTCCACCAGCTAAAGCTGCTGCTAATACATATTTTGATAAGTTTTCATTTTCACTTTGATTTGATGATTCAGTAATTGTATTACACTTTTGACATAAAATTTCACATTTAACTAAAAATCCAGATTTTGATAAAGAACAAGAATAGTTTGAATAATTAAAATCACTACAATTAGAGCATGGTTGTGTATATATTAAAGTAATATATTGTTCAGTATTAACTAAAATGACAAATCCGAAGTTTGTATTGCTTATCACATTTTGAACATCTAAACGTAATTTATCTGAATTGTGTGTATATGATTCAATAACTTCAGATCGTACAAATTTTGAGGCTTTAATTCTTTTAATTTGTCGCCGTGATTGATAAAGTTGTTGCTGAGTTTTGTTATATTTAATTAATAATACCAAACTGCTTTTGGAAGATAGTGGAATACCTGAACGTGTTAATTGAATTCCATGTTGAATTATTAGATCAGATTCATTATTTTCGTTAAAAATAGCTTCAATTTCAGCACTTGCTCGTTTTAACTCTCTTAATATTTGTTCTTCCTTTTTTTTGCAACAATTGCTTTTTGATGATATGGAAAAAGTTCTGGGTATGTTTTACTAACAATATTACATAATTCTGTAGCTATTTCTGGCTCAGCAATTCCTAATACATGACTAAATAAATAATTTTTATCAAGATTATATTTTTTACGCAAAGAATAAAATAATGCTTTATCTTGTCCATGAGCTTTAATAGTATTAAATTTATCGTCATAATATTCATTCCATGAATAAACAAGAATATTATTTGATTGTTCTATAGATAATTTAAAATGCTTCCTAGCACATTTAGTATATACTGTCCAACCAACTAATAAAGGTAACCACGTAGACAGATCATTTTGATCCTTTCCTCGCAAGCAAATATAACCATCCAATGGTGCTAATAATAGTTGATCTATATTGTCACAAGCGAGAATTAAGTTTTGATGAAGTTCCAAAGTAGTATTCATGTTCAAATCTTTTATTACAAACCAACTATTATTATGACTTCTTTGATAGGCTTTTCTAGTATTAGGACTTTCGTTAACCAAATATATATACCACTTGTTTATACTGTAATCTAAAAAAATACTTTTAAAAATAGTTTATTTTGTTATTACAAATATATTAAACGATATTTAATTAGCAAACTACTCAATGCGCTTTCATGTGCAAGATTAAGAATACTTCAAATCACTTTAATATTTAAAAAAACTGACGAAACAAAAAAAACAAATTAACCTATTAAAAAAACAGTATTTAAAGTTTTATTTTTTTGGTTTTGTTTTTTTTTTTAGTTTATTTAAAACAACTATATCAAAAGAATCTTTTTTACGTTTGTTAAATTTTTAATTTGTCCTACGTTATATAAGAAAAATAATCGACATGAACTCCACCCTTAATTAGAAGCCTAACTAACTCTAATATAATAAAAACTTCTTTAATTTTAAAAAAAGGGTTATATAATTTACCGCACCCGCGTTATAACGCACCCACCTGATCGACCAATCAGATTGTAAGATCAGATGTAACGTGAAATCAAAAAAAATAGCAATGTTTTGAAAAAATTGCTTGTAGCTCATAGGTTGGCTTATGAAACCACCCTTTGCATTCTAACAAAAAAAATTACTTGCAAAATTTTAGGTATAACCGACATATACTTACAATCCAACCTAACCCTACATTAGTGCTAACCCTTACCCTAAATTAAATGCATTGTTTGTTTTGATTTTAAGTTACACCGGATCTTATAGATGTGTTACAATGCAGGTGCAATAAATGATAAAATTCTTAATTGATAATCCGCCTATGAACTGGAGAATAGGCGAAATGAGACATCTTCCATCTAAACCTTTTTTTCGTACTAAGTTAACGATACATGCCTATTAATTGAAAATTGTAGAGCTCGTCGAGACGCATCTAACGGTGGTTAGATCATCCAAATCGGCCTAGTGGATGGCG